CACTGGGATTCAATCAATGAATACAACTATAGTTGAACCTTGAATAACGCATTGAATAACGCATGAAATTGACATAACTCCATCGCGATAGGGAGATGGTCACTTCACAATAATAAAAAGATTATTATCATGATTCAATGCATCCCATTCTATGAATCTAGTGCAGTCATTGGTAATTGTGTACATGTTGACTGGTCCCACTACATATTAATTTGATATGTTTTGGTTTGATTTACAGACAGGTTGGATGATGTATAATTGGATGTTAACAGCTTTAGCTGTTGGTTCTACTATAGTCTTGTATGATGGTTCACCGCTGGTGCCAACACCGGATGTACTGTGGGACCTCATTGATCAGCTAGGGTAAGTTAGATTTGAGGTAGAAGCCTACTCAAAATTTTCATAAATCCACGATAATGTTCATTTGTTTATTATTTACGATCATGAAGCTAATGTCTCATGGTACAATGAAATAGCATTATCACACCAGTGATAAAGTGATAGATCTGGTCATGATGTTTGGAATTTCTTTGAGACTACTTTCAGAAGATGAACTAGGGTTATGGTTCAAGACCGGTCAAGTGACCAAAACCATAATGAAATAATGTGTAATTTGATCTCTACACACAATGTTCAATTGTGACCTGTGTACTAATCAACACTCTATATGTACATGTTTGTATGTAATTTTTTCAGGGTAACAATTCTGGGTACAGGCGCTAAGTGGCTGTCAGTTTTAGAAGACAAAGGCGTGCATCCGGGTGAGGTTACTGAATATTATTGTTGTAAGAATTTTGCAAGAGAAAAATTTTCGTGAGAAATTTTACAAGTTAGTTAAAATTGCATAATTTTTGTATTGTGAAAATTTCATTGAGGGTTCGTAATAGTGTGCTCTCTAACAGAAATTAATAGAAAAATAAAATTGTATGGGATTGTAAAGGTGCTTTGAGGCACAAACAAAAGTTTTTACGTTTATTTTGTTTATAAAATGAATTTCATTTCAGCAAATTAGAAATTCTCTTGTAAAATGTTTTTTCAAGATCACGATATTAGTGTACAATTTTCTGTTGGGTAAATGACGTGTCAGTGAATCACAACAAAAAGTTGCGTTACAGAAAATCTTTGTGCATCATACTGGTTTAGAGGGCACACTGGTCTTAAAATTTCAGTCACAATGTCTTTTAAGAAATATTGACCTCAAGAATGCCATTTATAATGAATCATCTAGTCTCATATATTTTTAGCAAGGAAAATTACTAATGAAACTCAAAAAAAGGATGTGGGATCATATAAATTTGTGAGATCCAAACAATCCCATTCAGAAATGTGAATTTTCTCACTTTTTTACAGATGCTAGTCTCACTTCCAACTATTTTCTACATCATAACTGTAGAGGGCGCTGTCCTATTAAAAACTGATCTGTTTGAGATTATATGTTTTTATATGTTTAATTTCTAATAGCGGAAACTCACAGCCTGAAAACTTTGAATTGTATTTTATCAACTGGATCACCATTGAAGCCGACCAGCTTTGAATATGTTTACAAACACGTCAAGAAGGACATAATATTGGGATCTATCACTGGTAGGTGTGATCTTTTTACCAGTATCTTGAACAGATCAATATGACCTGGCTTCTATTGTTGATAGACATTGACATAATTATGTGCTAAGTGGCATTTACTCAAAAGTAAAAATAATATGACAGAACCCCACAGGCTTTTGTGAGGTATGGAAGTTATTTTCATGGGTGATGCGGTGTATCCTGTGGCTGTGGGAGTGAAAATGCAGCATGGATACATCTCCTCACAAGTGTCTGAGTGCATACTTTGAGGTATATTCATAATAACCTTATTATTATACATCTTTTCCTACCAAGGATACATCATGAAAATGCCGAAATCCAAAAAGTTTAGAACACAATCAGCGAACTTCTTTGTATGGAGTCCGGTCAAACCATGGTGGCAGCCATGTTTGTTTTTATTATTAGAGGACGCTTACGCGCATAATCATCCCTTATTTGGAATTCGCATTTCCTAATATGGTAGGATGAAAATACCCTGTACAATACCGCAAAACTACGGCACGCTGTAACTTATGGCGTTATGGTGACAGATGTATAATAATAATTATTAATATCATTGATGTGAAAATCATTTGTTTAGGTGGTACAGATATCATTGGTTGCTTTGCCGGTGAGTCGTGGATGTTGCCGGTCTACAAAGGAGAGATACAGGGACCATTTTTAGGCATGGCCATAGAAAGCTGGGATGACTCTGGTAAGGCAATTTCTATTGTTCTGTTTCCATTGTTGCAGTGTCATTACTCTGTATGCATGTGGGGAAGCGTGATTTAATTTTTTTTTTTTTTAATTTTATACTAAATGGATGCCATTACTTTCTATAAAAATAATATGCAGGTTTATTATTTTAAGATGCATAATTTGTAACAATTTTTTCTCTTTTTTTTTAAATCTGCAGGGAAAGCAATATATGATGAAAGTGGTGAATTAGTATGTACAAAACCGTTTCCATCCATGCCAACTCATTTCTGGAATGATTCTGAGGGTACTAAGTATCATAAAGCTTATTTCAATAAATATGAAGGTGAGTTTTTCTTCTTATTTGTGTCCATGTCATGAACAAACTTCAAAGAAACCTACGATATGCTTGACGTATGGTCACCATAATTCTATAAATTTGAATATAAAAAAACCTGTAAAGTATAACTATGAAATATAATACATTACAAATCCCCCCCACTCCCTTAGTTTACTTCAGCCACTGATGTATTGTTTTTTGTTTTTTTTGACAACACTTTATGCCTCGATGTCACTGTACACAAGACAGTGTAGTAAGATCATAAATTGTTATTTAATTGAAATAGCTGAACTGTCAATCATTCACACTGACTCCTCCCATCAAGACAACAATTTGTTATTTTCGTTTTTCACAAAACAATATGATATTAACCGCTAATTTATGAGAAACAAAAGTACTATTATCCTAAAAGCCCCAGTTCATTTAAACAAACATACATTGTCTAAGTTGAATAGAACCAATATTAATCATGTTATAACAACTGGTACATTAATTTCATGTTGTATTTTTTGTTTTCGAGTGAGAAGAAAAAAAAGAAATCTCAGTGACTCCTAAAATATTGTGAGCCATTGTCTGTCCACATGTTCCGGGGCGCATATGTATTTTTTGCTATTTAGTGCTGAAAAACAGAAAACGAGTCAGTATTTTATTAAAGTAACTGCTTGTTTTGACTGGCTATCAGTTGATTTCTACATCGCTGTAACAGAATAAAAAAACACAACTGACAAGTTGTAAACAGATTTAGGTAGTTTCTATTCAGAGTTTGATTAAACATACTTGACTACCAAAACCAGTTTTTAATCATCATTTATTTATTTTAATTTCGTTGGTGAATATCTCAGGAATTCTTTTTTTTCAGGTGTATGGGCACATGGTGATTTCTGTCTAATAAGTTCAAGGACTGGTGGCATTCTAATGCTGGGCAGAAGGTATGATCTCACAAGTAATCAACACTAGTGTTTCCTTTAAACAAATTTGATGTTCAGCAGCTTTGTTATTATCTCAAAGAAAGTTGTGTCAAATTTTGTTATTATTAACTTACGACATTGAGGTAAAAGTTGCTCTATTCACATGATAACATTTTACTTTTTCTCCCTTATTTAGTGATGGTACTCTGAATCCTAATGGCGTTAGATTTGGCAGTGCTGAACTCTATAATATTGGTAAGATATTTCAAAAGGTGAAAAAATGATACCCAACACTGACCATGTATGTATCAAATG